GGGATTCGTGGAGTCGAGCTATTCGTTTCAATTTTCCTCGTCGAATCGCTGGGTCGAGTGGACCGAAGAAAATATTCATTGAATCCTTGGCACAAACACGAACTGCAGTATACGCTCTATTTATAAAAACACCTCGTCGATCTATCGTTCAATATTTCGGAAAATTATTGACAATTTGTTTTTTTTTTTCGCTCATAGAGCAACTTACAAAGTTAACGAAGTTTTTTTTATCGGAAAACTTTGCACACTGTCTGTATACATATAGAACGTCCCGCGTAAAACCGGCCCGCCTCAAACGATTACTTTTTATCTGTTCCGTAAGGTCAGCGTGACTGTGATTTCACGTTGCAAGAAAAACCGTAAAGGCACAAGGTCATTTGCAAAATCCTTTGCGATGATTTATGAATAACATTATACTTTGGGAGAGTGTCATTTGCAAAATTTAATTCTGTAACGTGAGTAAAGTTTTCTTCGAACATTCTCCAAATTTTCTAGACTTGTTTTGCTTAATGCCTATGAATTGCATAATTTCAGTTAAATTGCATTATTTGTTTAAGCACACAAAATTTGTTTCCATGCATTTTTACCCTGATAACTACATAAATCCTATGTACTGCAGCTTAATACATAAATTTAAATTTGTTCAAATTGCGTCGACGTTTTTCCTTATAGCGACAGATATATGGCTGACATGGCAAAGTGTTAATGGTTCTCAACGTTTCTCACTGTGTTAACCTCCACGTGACTCGGGCTAAACTGTCATCCAACGAAGCTCGATGTGACTCGACGAGACCATAACGGTAATGCCGAAAGGAGAAACGGTGACGAACACGCGAACGAGCCCTCCCGAGCGCAAAAGCCCGTCGACGAACACCCCGAGAGTGAAAAGGTGTTTTCTCGAGGCGACGAGAGGCGAGCAAGCCGCGGGAACACTTTCTTCCGCAACGCTTGTCTCCGCCTGCCGCTGTACCACGCGAATCGGAAAATCCGATGGGGTCCGGGGTCTATTCTCGGCTCTCTTTAACGCCGTTTCCCTCCCCGGCTATAATTAGTCCCCGAGTATGACATCTCGCCCCGACAACTACGATTCCGATGAGATTCGATCCGAGGGCCGACCACCACGACACGGAAGAAATCAATACGGCCGACACGAAGATACCGATTGCGCGACGCGTCAGATACCAGAGAGCTGCGCAACTAAGACACGCTCGTCGTCCACGGAGCTGCTCGTGTCTCTCTCTCTCCCTGCGATAAATCATCCTGGAATCTCTGCCGTAGACGCGAACACACAAGTTTCCAATCGTTGGAACTGACTGAAAGTGGGCTACGAACGATCGAACGATCGAAATCTTGTAGCATAACGATATTATCCAGCTAGATGACGACGTAATAGAAATAATCGGCAAAGATCCAAAAATTAAAATAGGGGAATTATGTTTATCTTCAAACGCTTCAATGCGTGGGAATATTAAATTAGACTGATATATTGGATCAGTATTAGCGTTGATGTGGTCGAAACGTCTAAAGGGACCCGTGTATTCGGACATTAGCCGACGCTGTCAGCGGCTACGTCAAGTAGAAACAGACAGCCGAACACGGCCGAGAATTCAGCAGACTTGAACTGCAACCGGTGACATCCATTTGATTCAATGGATAAAGAAACAACTAACAGACTAACAGAACGCGTGAAGTGGAAACGAAGAACGTAACTCTGTGCAAATAAAGTGTGAAGTTATTGCGCCACCGGAGAGTTGCCGCTGTCACCTTAAATGTCAATCACCAACCTGACCATTTGACATGTTTCCAATAAAACAATAGACCACGCAAGAGACCGTTACTGGATTGCACCTCCGCGGACTTTTATTTCCAGGAAACACAATGGGAAGGTGGACAAGGTCTACAGACGAGAAATCAAGAAGAGTTCGTGTAGCCTGTAATTGTAGTAAAAAACATAGACGTCAGTTCGACGATGTCCCCTGTCGAAGGGAAAACCCGATGGGATATTCAGAAGACATTCTACCGCCCCCAAACACCGTATATATTGAGCGAAAACATCCCCAACAGAGACGTTTTTTAGGGCGAACCTCGAATACGCAAAGGACCCACGAAAAAGAGACCCAATGGATCCACGAAGGGAGAAGAATATTCTGGACACGGTCCAAACATCTCAATCCTTGTTATTATAGAATTCCAGCCGGACTTCTTTTCCACGGCCGCGGTGAAAACGGGAAAGGAAAACAATTTCATCGGTCGAGAAAGTCTGGCGATTTCGTAGAAGAAAAGGGGACATCGATGAGAAAGCTGATCGATCGATCGACGAAGCGGATCCTCGAGGGTTCGCCCCTCCTCTTCACGCCTATTCTGTCCCATGATCCCGCGAAATCATCGCGTCTCGTCGCACTGACCAGAAATAAGGGGCCCATCGTTTCTCTGTTCCATGGAAACGGTCTCGGTTGCCAATTACTGGAAAGACGAAAGAGCCGAAATGATTGGAGAACCAGCGCAGGAAATAACGCAGGGAAACTTCGATGAGAAAACCGTCCAGTCTTCCTTTCGTGCGAGAGCACGTAGAAGTTTTCGTCCGTGGAAAGTTCTGATTGGAAAATTCGAAAGGAAGGGGAGAAGAATAGACCGAGAGCGACAGAATCAATGTTTCGTCTTCGGGAATTGTTCCTGGCGCGATTAAACCGTTCCCGAGAGTACCCCGACACGTGGTTCCTCGAGGATCAATTTTAATCATTCTCGACGTCAAACGGTGAACCAGCGTCAAGTTTTGTAGCTTAATGAAGTGTTCTTGAAACGGGTTCGAAGTTAGTTTGGAAAATTGTGGCGAAAGTTCGAGTTTCAGGGGCTCAGTGTCGATTCCCGCCCACGGAATATTAACACTTTGATGTCGCATGACGTAGTAGTCAGTCTTTCATAAACAAAAATAGTAAAAAGAGGGAAAATTGCTTTAACTTCTAAATATTTTTACAACACCTGAAGTTGTATATTTGGATACAGAAAAAACTCTCCCGCCAAGAAAGTAGTTAATCGAATCCCGCTCGAGTCGAACGATTAGCACGAAGAGAGACGGCCGAAAGCGAGCTAAGGGATCGAGGGGGCCAGCTACTAGCGGTCCATGCGCTAAACGTCGATGGAAGATCAAGACGTGGCGCGTGAACGTGCTCAAAAAGCATCCGAAAACGATTGGAAGTGGAACGACGCGGCCCCGGACGGTGTGTGGCATTCTTTCAACATTTCGTTGTGTTTGAAGTATAACTGTTAGTGTGTGTGTGTGTGTTTGTTTTTTCCTTGGGACGAGGTTGAAATATTCAAGTGGCCTGGAGTCAAGTTCAATCCATACGGGCCGGAAACCAATTCCTGTCTCCCGGACTGGATGGGTCAGACGCGATCCTACACACGCGTTCGTAAAAGGGCACACGCACACACAGCGAAACGTCGATCTCTGTCTCTCGAATGGAACAAACCCGTCTTTTAATCGATGCACCCTTGCCCGAGAACTTGCAACTAACAGAATTTCCGTGGAAATTCAGGCTCGAGTAGCCACCGAGACGCGCTGCTTGAATTCACGGAACGCGGAGCTGACCTATTTATCAGGGGCTTTCGACATAGTCGGTTTCGGATTTGGGGGACTGAAAACAGGAAGGGGGTTAGCTGCATTGCTGTGACGACGAAATTTCACGTTGAGCAACCGTTACACTTAGTATTCTTATCGTTCTATCGTTTTTTCCTTTATTCTCCTTTCTGCTACCTTGAAACGTGTAACACGACTACCTAAACAAAAAGAATTCCGCATCACGCAACTGAAATTTATCTTTCTGCTCGGTTAGCAACGTTTTACTATCTGGGTTCAACTATTGTTCCAAGATCCTGTAACGCAATTCGTTTTTCTGATTACTTAAAAACGTTCTACAGAAAGCGAACAATACCCTGTTTCGTTACAGACTCCCAACACAATGGTACCTACTAAACAATAACCAATAACGTATATAAGAATGTCTCTGGTCCGAGAATACACAACCGGGCAAGTGGTAATTCTATAAACAAATATAATTCGAAAATATGTGAAATAAAATTTGGTACAATGCTTCGTTTTTTCGAGATAATCTACTTACGACTATGACGAATATGTACACCGCATTTTAAATGAATTTTCAAATTCAATTTTCCCAAAACGAAAACCTCAAACAAACAAAAAATTATTCTTCCTTCTCGACTTATTTCTTCTTATAGAATCATCTACTGCCAGTTATACTTCCTGACTCGAGGCATCCTGTGCATAGAAAACCCAGAAATTCCAGTCATATCGTAGAAAATTCGTGAAACCCATCAAGCGAAAATCATCCTAAATAATTTGACTTTCCAATCAGTTCAGAATTTCCCGACGAAAATCAACGCGTTACCACCTGATTCATCTAGAACGTTCGTACGATCGAGGCGGTGCACGGTTTCGCGCGTACACACAGACCCTCGCTCTATCTCTCTCCGTGCATACACCTGTGTCACAGCCACGACAACACGCACAAGGGTTATCCTCCGTCTGCCTGTGTGTGTGTGTGTGCATGTTCTGTGTGCTCAGTGGGTGGGCCTACGGCATCCCCCGTTGCACGAGCGACGGAGGCTAAAATTAGACGCGAACAGAGGGGGTTTATTCAAATTACGCCGCGCGTCGCAGCCAGCGCGCCCGGAGCCTCCCTGGGATTTTAAGCGGTAACCGTTCTAGACTTCTCGCCCGAGAATGAACCAGGGGGGCGGCGTCGGATGACACGACGTATCTCCCGGAGTGACGACGACGCCGCCGCGCGAAATTAAACGAGGGCCGCGTGACGCTTAATGAACCGTGCGGGCGGCTCTTCGTCCACAAAAGAGGATTCCGTCGACGGAAACGGGGACGCTTCTAGTCCGACGCTCGGTTTCCGTCCCTGTTTTTGAATCGATCAAAAAGTTAAACACGGCTCCCAGTTTTCCATGGTATCGTACAGCGGGTGTATACTCACCGTGGTTTTCTCTAAACAACGAAGTAGATGATGATGCTGCAATTCAAAAATATCCTCCTCCTTGTAGGAGTCATCCAGCTGAAGACCGCTCTCCTGCGCGGCCAGTCGGGCCTCGGCCGCCTTCTTTTTGCTCACAAAGGCCGCTCCGCTTGAAGCCTTCGCGATCCTGATACGCGCCAATCTGGCTTTCTGTAACAAACAGCATCACGAAAGGGTATTAGTATCGAGTTACTATCATTGTATCTTATAATTTGACTGCGGAAGTTTAGGCAAATATCGAAAAATTAAAATCGAGTAGAATTTTCAATTCTGTACTGGATGCTGTACTGCGTTAGTAATAAGACATAAATAGTATTTGCGACGATTGGCCCCCACATTTTGTCTGAAACGTTTCGATATAGCACACCGCAATACTCAATTCTTGTTAGATCCTATATTATAATAAAATCCTATTTGAACGATACTAAAGTATTTAACAAAATGCCAAAGAAATGTTTAGGGATCCTGAAAATTTCGAAAACGAAATAAGCACGGAAAATGCGAGAGGGCCAAGACGGTATCGCGCCAAAAAGAACCCAAAAATTCGAAAAAAAAAAACTAAAGGATCGAGTTAAAAGTGATGCAGGGAAAGACGCCTGTCTTTCCAGGTCGAGTGAAATTGTCCCCCGCGAAACAATGGGAAACGCCCGGGCTCCGTTGAAAAATCCACGAGAACTGCCTGGAAAATCGCGCGACGACAACGGAAGACACGTCAGGCTCCCTTAGTTTCAGGAACGCAAATTCGCAACAGAAGTCATTCGACTAACAACGACTCATTGTGCGGTTGTTTCTCCTTTTTTGTTCTCTCTCTCTCTCTTTCTCTCTCTACCTGCGCTCACTAGGCCTGACAATTCTCCACATCACCGCCTCGGTCAATTAAGCTTTTAGCGGCGATTTTCCGCGAGAAATTACCGTGCGCCATTCAGACACCGCGAATACGGTACCGCGATCCGAGGCGCTTTAAGCGTGCCCACGCTCGTTTACGGGACGATCACGGGCCGAAACGACTGGATTTTTGCTTCTTTCGAGGGCTTCGAACGACTCTCTCTCTCCCTTCCGCTCCCTCGGTTGGTAAAATTGCCGACGGTGGTGGTATAACGATCGTTCTCGAGGCGATTTGTCGGCTCTTCCATGTGTCGTTAACGAAAGGTAAACGGCGGAATCGAACATGCCTGTAGACATCGTAATTTCTCTCGTTCGATTGTTTACTCGTTGTCCGGAAACAACCCGTTTGACGGCGAACAAACGTTTCTGTGGAAACAACGCCTCGGAGCGCAGCCGAATTCAAACCCTTCCCCCAACCCTTGTCGAAGTTTCGTTCGAGCGAAACTTCCGCCAGGATGATTCAGGGCAACCGTTGCCTTTCAGCTACCACGGGGAAGTTTTAAAGAAAGATCGGCGAGCTACAGTCACGCCCTCGAGAATAAATTCAACCTACCAGCGAAACCAGGATATACCTCGACGTTCACCCAGCGTGAGACGTTTCGTGTGAAAATTCCCTACCACATAATCTCCTTGCGGGAGGAATTCGCCCAGATGCGGAGACCGTTTGTCATCGGGCAGAGCCACGACGGCGCTACGTCCGTAATAAGATGTGATGATAATTCAACGAGAGGTGGGATAAAATTCCGGAACCGGGGAGAAAGGTTTCCTGGAAACTTTTCCCCAGGCCATCTGCATCGAGAGAAGCTCTTCTTTTTGTTTCCCTCGCGGTAGGAGCCGCGGGGACGCGTAATTGTGAAATAACGCGAGATAAAGCTGTTCGTTAAGACAACTTTACCGTCCAACAGTTTTCCTCCTCGAAGAATCTTTTTCTGGCCTTCTTCCCTTCGAGAACATCTTTTGTCACACGGTCCATTTCATCGCTCTCAGCAGTCCCCTCTTTTATGGCGGTGATTTTTTTTTCCTTCGGTCTAGTTAGAGTATAGTGCGAGCGGCTTCCTAATATGGGTACTTTTTTAGTGGGTATGAAAGTTGTAATGAAGTCGATATTTTCTAGCTACTACCTTGATTATTTAACTTCAATTACTTTGTTCAGCTAAAATCTTATCCTGGAAACTGATTTTTAGTTGCTTATCTTATTCTTACTTTCGAATTCGAATTCTTTAACTGTTTATCTGTTAATGCATGGATTTCGAGTGTACTATGATTAGAGAACCTTAGAGTAAGCGAATCTTCCCTTGTTAAAGCTAGGAAAAATCCAGGTACTTGGATAACAGACACATTTCAAAGAAACTTTTTCCCTAGGCAGACCCTAAATATTGTATAATCTCGCCTTTACAATTCCAGATACGTGGACGACTAAAGCCCAGAGAACTTGGGTGGAGATAGCTTTCTCGTACTTATTCTGACGAAGATAATTGCTAGCTACTTGACTCTAATAATAATAGAAGTTTTTTATACTAATAATTTGTAATCGTTCCACCGAAAAAGTGGACATTGGGGTAGAAGGATTCGAACCCGTGACCCTCCTAATCGTAACAAAGAACTCTACTTGCTGCCCCACCGAGTCCTCATCGCTATCCATTGCTTTTACGGCTATTTCTTTTGCTGAAGACTTACACCGAGCGTGTGTCTTAAGTAGAGTAGTACCTCAGTTGCCGAACAGCTGCATCGTGAACCACCCAATTTTACAATGAAATTTGTTGCCCTCGTAATACCCGTCGGGCAGAAATTTTTCCTACGAGCCAGCAAATTTTTTAGCAAGGCATCTCGCGCGCTACTTTACGTCGATATAATTTACGAGACGACGTTGTAACATTTATCTCCGGCGAGAAATCGCGCGCACCTATCCCGAGGGCTCTGTGCGTCCATTGTACGAGGCTTCTCACGTGGAAGGACATAAAGAACGTGAGTTAAATGACATCGTTCCAACACGCAGCGCGCGGCGACGTAGGTCGCCCCCACGGTAGGTGAATCCATCATTAACGCGTTATTTCTCTTTAACGAGCCCTTCGGTACATCCGCAAGCTCCATAAAGCTCGTTGCCTCGGGATCGACGCGTCAAGATACAAGAGCCATGGGCCAGTCGGCTAGACCGTATCAAATAAAATGACATCGATGCCACGGAGATTCCAAACCGTGAACTGTTATTTAGCTTAACCCTTTGATGTCGAATGACGTATTGGTACATCTTTTCAGAAACAAAATCTGAGAGCGATTGACGTAGTGGTACGTCCTTTTAGAAATGGGAACAAGAATCGTAAAAGATGGGGAAAAAATCACTTTTCCTATATGTAAAGTTTGACAATTATAGTTAAGTAGTAGCTTCTAAATATTTTTCGAACACCTGAAGTTGGATATTTGCAAACATAAGAACCCTCCCGCTAGCCTAAGTTGTACAATGTCAAGTGTTAATTTACCGAACAAATGTTTACTTTCGTTCTTGTAAATTTAACCTGTTCAGGGATACTGGCACGTATGTGTACGTTAAGTTTTTCATCGTTCAAACATGCTTTCAAAACATTCATCTCTGAAGAGGTTAAAAGAAGATACCACGTATCGTTCCATTTCCTTTATACAATTATTCTAACAGACCCCTGTGACGATCTTTTCCTCGCGCTTTCGGATCATCGCTGAAATTAACTCCTACTTTCCTCACTCCAGATAAACATCGCGTAATAAAAGTTTATCCTGAACGACAATTTGCATCGCTCGGTCGATCACAATCTCGAATCGTCCCGCGATAAATAAAGAGGGAGAGAGAGAGAGAGAAAGAGAGAATGAGCGTGGCGAGCATACATTTCGCCGTCATTCCTCTTATCTGGCTTCGTGGATCTCGATGAAATTCTTCTGCAAAATCACCTTAACCGGCGCGCGGCTATAACATACAATTCCTAAATTACGAAGTTACTCGACGACCACGGGATTTCGCGGGAACGTTCTCGGAAAATGCCACGTCGCCGCGGTGAAAATCATTGCTTGCCCACCAACGCGTTACGTGTTTTCTGAGATTGTCTTCTGCGCGGCAAATAGCCCGACTCGATGACGTGCACGCGTCTTAAATCAACATCCCGGCAGTGGATCGCTACCGCGACTCCGTTTACATCATACCTCGAATCGTGAATCGCGAAGGTCAAGGCCTGAAGCACCTTCCGACGACACCTTTTCGTTTGGTTGGGGCTTGCATTTTTTTAAATTTCTTTACTAATAAGGCGTTCATCTGACCCCCATGTTCCTTAATTTTTTCGTAGGACTTTCTCAGATTTTCCATAAACACTCCTCTATTGTGTTTCAATGTCGTGCATAATGATTTGAAGTATTCTAAAACAAGGAAGTATTCGTGTCGACGTGAACTGGATCCATGAGGATTTATGGAATGTTTATTTGCGACTGCGTGTTCGCTTTTTTTAGATGAAATTTCCTCCATGTGCGTCAGACATTTGCGTTTCTAACCAGAGGAATCACGGACCTATTCTGTTACCAATTTACTAACTCAATGTTTTTTTTACTAGCTCAGCGTTATTAAAAAATGGCATTGGTAACCGTACACCGATGTGTCGTCCCCGGCTATGGTTAATTTTCGAAAATATTAGTCTTCCTCTGTCGTCTTAAACAGATGCCAAAAGAACGACAATTTCGCCACGCGAGGGACAATAATTAAGAAATCGCAGGAGGAGCTAAACTTGATTCTGCTGATTCAGCTGATTGGAGTTCGTTCAAATGCTAATATCTCGGAAATGTAGCTTCAGATTACAAAACGGTAAAGAAACTTTCGATTTGTATTTGCTTGAGGAATATGCGCAAATGTTTCGTCTTATCCCATCATTTTGGGACACTCTGTATAAAAGTTCTAACTCGAAAATATAAAATATCATTAAAAAAACCTGCCCGTCCTCTAATAATTAATATTAAACAATTTATACATGAGGTCCCCGAACTTTCTGATCAGACCTTGTACACCCACGAGCAAACTCGGCTTTCACTAGGGGAATTAGCAATATACGGGTTAAGGCCTCCTACTGCTTGATAAATTTATTTCAAATACTGAAATAAATGTTAAACCGAATGTTAATATCGCATAATGTTCAATAACTCCGAGACCAAGTGGTAGGAGGTCTTTCACTTATATCACTTTTTCCCCTAGCGGAAGCCGAGTTTGCTCGTGAGGGTACATCGAAGACCCGAGCGAAACCTACTAGAATCCAACG